TTTATGCAGATGACACTATCATTTATTCAATAGCAAATACATCAGAGCTGGCCGCTGCTCTTGAAAAGGACCTTCAATCAATGGTTAACTGGAGCAGGAAATGGACTGTAAATTTTAATGCTTCCAAAACAAAACTGCTCTCATTTAACCACCATGGAAAATCTTCCCTGCTCGCCATCATCATGGCTGATGCTCGACTCAGGAGACCGTCTCATTGCGCCTTCTTGACCTCACATTTTCAACTGACTTGAAGTGGAATGACTACATTGAATCAATAGCTGCATCTACTGCAAGGAAAGTTGATTCATTGTGTCGTGCCAGAGGATTTTTCTTGTTAGAGTCTATCTTGCACATTTGCAAATCTACCATTCGCCCGAGAATTGAATACTGTTGCCATATCTGGTCTAGTGCCCTTGCTGTGTATTTTGAGGTTCTTGACAAAATCCAAAGAAGGATCTGCAATGTAATCGATCCTGACTTGGCATCTTGATTTCAGTCACTTTCTCACATATGTTATGTGGCTTCCCTCTGTCTTTTCTGCAAATATTTTCATTTTAATATTTAAGCGTGCTACTAGATTGACATTTGAGTCCCACCTTTTTATTGCTGTAATAGGTAAATATAATCGCCACATCTATTCCAACAGTTTCTTTTTTGCACTTCCCGACAGTGGAACTCACTTTCGCTTATTCTGATAACTACAAAAATTTGTTTTGTAGCCGTTCATATTTTATCCTTTTCTCAATACCTCCTATATCCATTCTTTTCTCTCACTTTCACTCTCTGTAACCTCCTGCGTACTAGTGGCACTCTTGCCTCGTTTGGGGTGAAATGATTAAAAAAATCTAAGCAGTAACCAGTCTAAGAGAAGGGAATGCCTGAATTTCAAATTATGAAGAATGTAACAGGAAACCGCTTCACTTTCCTTCAATTAATAATTAAAAGGAATCTGTTGAGAGTCTAGATCTTCTACCTTCTGTTCAAAGTCTAGATCTCCTACCTTCTGAAAGAATATGGCTTAAAACATCTATGAGAAAAATCATCCATCAGGATGCCTGCTTTGTAGGTGTTAAAAGACTTTATTAATACAAAACAAAATAATAATTTGAAAATTGAAGGAGGAATTTACGCGATCACTTGTAAAAATTTCCGCAAAGAATGAATAGAAGAAACGACAAGGAATTTAATTAAACGATTGTCTGAACACAAACGAGATCTTTGACAAAATATTACATTCATTGCATTAGTTGCTTACCGTAATGAGTCAGACCATAGTTTTTATATAAAAAATGCTACTTTAATTAAAAGAGAAAGAAATTTGCTAAGACAAAAATATATAGAAAGTGCTTTAATCACTAGATCATCCACATAATTTTATATTTAAGTTCTTACATTTCACCTTTCTTGACAGATGTTCTGTTATCAAAATGTGGGGTATATAACATAAGAGATGAAAACGTCATTTTAGACTGATGAATTGCCTAAAGGACGAAAAGTATCAAGCAAAAACATTTTACACTTTGTTATACATTTTAATGCATAATATATATATATATATATATATATATATATATATATATATATATATATATATATATATAAGTGGCTACTGAGATCAGCACCCAGCAGCAGCAGCAGTGTCCCTTTATATTTACATACGCTCTACCCCTGATATTGAGCACTTTATCCCATAAATATAGCATGCCTTAAAAATATATTTTATCATATATATATATATATATATATATATATATATGTGTGTGTGTGTGTGTGTGTGTGTGTGTGTGTGTGTGTGTGTTATACTTATATAGAGAAATAGAAAAACATTTAAGTAAATATATCTGGAAACTAATAAAAATTGCTGCAAGTCATGTCTATGTCGATAAAATAGAAAAGTTAGAAAATCAATGGCCAAAAGCTCGATGAAGCTTATAGTATATAAATGTGACTATATTGGCATGTAAAATAATAAAATGATTTATTCGATTATATGAGATATCGTGTTAATGAAATGTTTTTCTGTTCTTTATATTTAATATGTTGTTTTCTTCTGCTATTTCAGATGCTTCTATATTACCGGTTTTCCTCTTCCATCGTAAATGATTTTTCCGAAATATTCGTTCCATCTTTGAAGTAATTTTCTTTTTCTGTTGTGAATGTTGCCTCTTTCGATTTTATTCTCTCCATTGATGAGCACAATTTCTGTCCTGATATTTCTTTTATTCTTTTATATGTATACTTATCCATGATGCTCATTCATTCTATATTTCTACCTGAAATAAGGTGACAAATTCGACACTAAATAGAAATTTGTCAAGAGGTTCGATTGACATTCTCTGTCTGTTCTACATGTTTAAATAAACCATTGGTGCTTAAATATATAATATTTATATCTTAGTTTGTTTGCATAATAAAACAAGATTCCTCAAAACATGTCATTATCAATAGTTTTAAAAAAGACATATTTTAAAAACCGATGTAATGCTCATATAAGCTGAAGATTTTAGCGACATCGGTGGTTGGTTAGTAACAATTATTTGTGAAAACATTGACTTTTGTAATAAAATCTGACAGTGATAAATCATTGATATAGGTAAAATAATGTGAAAGCATAAGGACGACTCTCAGTAAATACCCATATATATATATATATATATATATATATATATATATATATATATATATATATATATATATACAAATAAAATTATATTTCGCCAGCAAGAATTCTTTCAAGCATGTTTGGTTGAATAATATCGACAAGTTCTGTCTATTCAGCTTTTATTCACTTTTTCAAATTTAGTTTTATATAATCGAAAAACTTTCGTAAATTTGTCGATTATATAAAACAACTAATTTAGAAATTTAAAAATTTAATTAAAAAATTGGATAGACAAGACTTGTCGAGAAACATCAACCAAACATGTTTATATATATATATATATATATATATATATATATATATATATATATATATATATATATATTTTTTTTTTTTTTGCAATGTTTCATTGTTTGTTTAAAATCATTTGCCAACGAAAGACCCTGATGAAGCGTTGGCCGAAAGGTACCTAGGTCCTGCAAAAAAAAAAATGGTCATACAAAAGAAATTCATTTTCTTTAAATCATTATATTCGTTTTGTGGTATCAAAACATTATTCCAATATATATATATAAATGCTGTCCTGTGATATTTGCGACAATGTAAAAAAAATAAATGAATTCTCATCCTCTTTTTGGCCGTTGTTAATTTAAAACTTGTGTGTTATTTTATTGGCGGCAAAGATTTATTTTGCTTATATTTCGATGCTTTTTGACACCATTTTCAGAACAGATTATATATCTACGTATTAAATAACCATATTTTTCGGGTAATATGTTTTATAAATACATTTATACCTTAAACATGTACTTATATATATATATATATATATATATATATATATATATATATGTGTGTGTGTGTGTGTGTGTGTGTGTGTGTGTGTGTGTGTGTGTGTGTTTTGCAAACATATATATATATATATATATATATATATATATATATATATTTATAAAAAGTAATTCCAATACGCCTTCCATTACCACACAGCATAAGCTTCGATCCAGAATGCTTATTTCGTTTCTGCTCCACATTATTGTAAACAATTCATTTTTCATCGACTGTGATCGTTCTTTTCAAATATAATTCCTTTTGTTACGTTTGATCAGAGAATCCCGGATAGAATACGATCCCTTTAACTTTTACTATTAAAATGTGGGGCACATCGTAGTGACTTTCATATGAGATGTATGGAGCATCCAAATTTCCACTTCCGAACTTACCAAACCACTTAGGAAGAGTACTCTCATCTATAACTCATTCTCTATAAATACTACATACCTTTTTGCTGTTTAAACGGTGTTTTTGTTTTGTTTCTTAAACTATCTCAATTCCTGCATTTTTAATTTTATCGTAAAAACAAACAACTGCTCAAAACGAATTTTTCTACCAACCCACTACTATGATAAAGTACAATTTTTTACGCTAAGTTTGGTTGGAAATTCATAAAAGCAATTATTAACTTTAGTCATTAGTTATTTTTTTTTAATAACAATATATTGATTATAATGCATATTCACAGTAAGTCCATGCAGTATAATCAGTTTTCATAGCAACTCTTTTGTAACACTATTTGATACCAATCGGCATGGATCTCCTGTGACAAGTAATGTACAATATTCCCTGGACAGTTTGGAATACTCTTCTCTTCAGTACTTCCCCGTCTGAGTCAGGTTTGCTGGTGATTTTCAGTGGACAGCAATTTTTAAATCATTCCAGTGATTTCTTGGGGATTTGGATCCGGACTTTGACATGGACAGTCTAAAACGTTTACTTTTCGAAACTCTCCTTGAGTTTCTTCAGAGGAATACTTGGGATAATTATCCTTCTGAAATAGGAACCTCTTCCCAAGTTTCAGGCTTCTTGCAGACTTGAAGTTTTACCCTAAGAATTTCTGGTCCTGTCTATAGTATATTGTATACGGATCAGAGGAAGAGAAACAGCCCGATAGCATTATGCCACCGCACCTGTATGTTTAACAGTTGACATTATATGGGTTGGATCATCAGTTGTGTTGGGTCTGCGACAAACATACTTGTATATTATTGCTTCGTATCGCTTTACTTTAGTATATTACCGTTTCTTGTTTCTTCACTATGCTTTCATTATTCCTTTTATTCTTTATTCATTTTCTTTCCTCCCTTTTTATATTACTCAATTGAATTTTATGTGCCATTATTTTAGAATTCCGTGAAGATTGCCTCAAAATGCTTGTGTTTTGTGCTTTCATGCCAATTTCAATCGTATTTCTGCTTCATTTACATTTAAACGACGATTATGTGACACAACCTAACTTGACATTCATTTTTTCGCTCTCTTTCTCTCGTACTCTCCTTCTTTGGTACATCGTCCTCACCTCGGCCTCTTTATCTTTTCCTTCCTTTCTTTCTTCTTCATTATGCTTTCTTCGGGTTACTTTCTATTTTTCCTTTCTTCCATTCTTTCTTTGTTTTTCTTAAAAATTTGCTCTACATTTTTCTCTCTTTCCTTATTTACTTTTTCTTTTCAATTTCATTCTTTCTTCTTTCATTTCTTTCGTTTTTTAGCTTTTCATTTTTATCTGTTATTTCCATTCTATCTTATCTCACAAATTATTAACCACGTTCTATTCCGCCCCTAAAATCTTTCTATAGTTTTTACCCTCACACTCTGCTACATCTCTTTCTTCACTTTTTCCTTCTTCCTTATCTTTCCGCAAAGCACTCTCAAACTATGTTTTCTTCCTTCTCCCAATTTGTCATCTTTTTTGATTTAATTTTCCGCTCTCTTTTCATTTTTGTCTCCCTTTAGTTCCTCTTCTTTCCCTGTCTCCATTTGTGTCTCTCTTCCTTGTTGCCAACATCAACGCAGAAACGATGCTTCAATCCCAATCTTTCTGCGCTTATTAACTCGCCTAATAAGAATGTTATACGCATAACTCAGGGCGCAACGAACCACTTCCATTTTACAAGTCGATTAGGCCCAGCAACGCTTGCATCTTGACCCTGGTTCCAGGGGGGGGCAGTAACTGAGATGGGGTGTGGAGATAAGATTGAAGGTGACGATTGCCTTTCCCCGACAAGTTCAGTTGACGATCGATGTGATTTTGTTAAATATCATTTCAACATAAATAGGCAGAATTTGATAGATAGATAGATAGATAGATAGATAGATAGATAGATAGATAGATAGATAGATAGATCAGTTCAGCAAATTATAAGGCGTTTTCATGAAGGCATTACATCTATTAGGTCGATTTTATACATATACATGTGTGCGTATATATGTTTACATGTATATGTATATATATATATATATATATATATATATATATATATATATATATATATATATATATATATATATATATATATATATATATATATATATATATATATATATATATTATATATGTATTTATACATGTATACATACACACGTACATCCGATGTATCTAGATGCATAATCTAGCCGACCTCATTCAGCTTCCTATCACTTTTGTTTTTGCATTTATCACTGTTGTTTTAAATATCCTACATTGTATTAGCAGTAGTTTTGTTAAGAAAATGGATATATTGCACGGTCCTGGACATAAACCTATCATGGAAGATATTGAAAATCAGTGCACTTTCAATATATTTTAGCCTTAACAAAATACTTTCACATTTAATTAAAACTTCATTTTTTAATGTTGAATTTAGTGTCAGACCTATACGATTAACAAATAAATCACTGAGTGTATTGTTTTCTAATAGACATCTTTTGTATTCGTACAACCTGTTATTTAAATTGCTAGATGTTTCGCCTAAAGTTTTCTTAGGACATTTTTACAAATTCCCGTTTATTTTTTTACAGTCGATTTTGTAAATTCAAGCTTACAGTCTTATATTAAGTTGAGACAAATTCTTTTCAATTGACGTTGTTATTGAGTTATATAGGTTTCTAGCATTATTTGCTAAGTGTTAAGATTATTTACGCAATTTTCTTCATTAATAATGTGATTTTCCTACCCTTTCTTCTGTGCTATATATAATGAACTCATTTGGATATTGATGGAGTTTCTACCTTCAGTGTACTTCTCTTCTTTGTTGAAATATTGAGAGCTAAAAATATAAAGTAGAAACCGATAATTACTCTGAATTTAATTTTTCTTATTTGGGTAAATAAAGTTTATCAAATCTTTTCTGTTGCGGGATTTTCGATAGACATTTAGTTTTAGATCATTGTCAGTACAGTTTAACTTATCAAGAAATGGTAATGTAATGTTTTTATTTCATAAATTCACTATTTACATTGAGGACACATAAGTGACCGGACCCAAAGAGTGTGAGCTCAATACCCGGTTAAGATAGTGGAGAACTTGGAGAGGGGAATTAACAGGAGATAACTGTTAACTGACATCCATTAAAAACATGGTACGTGGAACTAGAACAGTCTACCTCAGTGAGCGAAATAAAGGGTTCAGTTCGACATTCCAACCACCTGAAGAAGACCGGAGCGTACAACGGCCGAAACGTTGTAATAAATATGGTGACAAAGATGAGGACAATACTTCATCTCAGAAATATAGACAGATTCATAAATTCAATTTTAAATTCTATGTTGTTTAGTTTTATTTACAAGTTCTGGTAAATATTGTTTTGCGGGGAATATATTAATAAAACATCATCGATATATCAAAAACATTTGTTTATTAGGCATTAAATTATATCACTTAGCGTACTCTATAGACTTTTTAGCTAATCTGATAAATATTTATGAGAGTTTCTTAAATTTAAATATTTTGAAAAACTAACATTTTTTCTCTTATACAGTGTAACCCGGATATAAGAGAGTTGTCGGGACCGGGTTTGGTCTATTTTGTTTACATTAACACAGGCTCTAATTTGGGACCAGAGAAAATCTCTCTTATATCCGGGTTTCTCTTATATCCGGGTCTCTTATATCCGGGTTACACTGTACATAAATACTTGTTACAAAATAAAATCCTTGCATTTGCCTTAATAAATTCCCTCAGAGAACGAAACGCTTCGGAGAAGTTTTCCTTTTTTCTTTGTTCATATTGTCCTTTTACGGATATATTCTATCTGTAATTCTACATATGAATTAATATATCATATCTTCGACCATGTGTGTGTGTGTGTGTGTGCGTGTGTGTGTGTGTGTGTGTGTGCAGGTATGTCAGGAAATATTCAGCCATACTGAATATATCGATATCCTGTTGCACGTGTCTGATGTAATTTAAGAACCACTTAAGGAAAACCTTATTGCGCGCTCATGAATAGACACACTTACCCTTTCCCGTTATGTTACTCAGTCGTCACGAGACACTATTGATTTAGCTTAAGTACTGTGCAAAATTTGTATTCACAGAAAAAATGCATCAAATTTTGCTTGAAAATTCGACATACTTGCGCGGAGACTCTTGAAATATTTAACAAGGCTTTCAGGTATCAATCAGTTTGTGAAAACCAATTAAATGGTTGGCACCAATTTTTCAAATTTTCCAGAGAATACATTGAATGCGACTCTGGAAGGAACATAGAGAATACTCAAAATGCTAAATGTGGGAGGCAAAGAAATGGAATTGACCACTGACAACTTATATCTGTTTTTCATTCAAGGAATTTTGTTATCGCATCAACCTGGTGGTTCGTCCCCTCTCCTGATTATGGTCAGATTTGTCTTACGGCGACTTCAGACTTTTCACCATTGAAAAGGAAGAGACTTCCGATGGTAGATGGAATGAAGAAGAATACAACGAGGCAGCTGATGGCGATCCCGAGAGAGGATTTTGCAGACAACTTTGTGAAATAGATTCTGTGATATCTATATGTTTCAATGCGGATGGGGGTGGGGGTAATTTGATTGCCCTTGGCAGGCGACATTTAATATTAAATGGCTGACTCATTTCTGAACAAATATATATATATATATATATATATATATGTGTGTGTGTGTGTGTGTGTGTGTGTGAGTGTGTGTTTGTGTGTGTGTATATGGGGTGGGACTCGAGTGTGTTTGCCAATCGAAGCATATATGTAATATTTTTATACATTTAACAGATTCTTATTCATTATTATAAATTATAAGTATTAATTGTCTATCTACTCATTTAAGTTTCGTCACTCTCTTATGTAAATATATTCAAATATGTCATCGTTATAGAAGAAGAGTGCATAGTATCGTAGATAGGGAGGATATAAATAGAAACCATGAAAAGATCATACACAGCAATGGTGATTGTATGCAACAAACTTTTCAGTTTCTTCAGACAAAGTTTAAAAGCCGCACTGATGCGTAAAACTTGGAGTGACAATGAAATGTTGATTCCTATGTCAACACTGTATACATATATAGCTGTACCAACCTTACAGCAACCGCCGTCTGTCAAACTCTCTGCATTAGCAGAGAGGAACCCAGACGAAGCTTTGCCGAAGGGCAAGGTTTCGTTCGGAGAGGTTATGACAGCTCTCGAACTCGCCAAGGCGAGTCGAAGGCTATATTTTTGGCCGGGCCTACGGGCTCGGGTGACCACGTAAAACTCGGCCTTGTGCCACATGCGACCCCTCGTGGGGGGACAGCTAAATATAACTGTATACATATATATATATATATATATATATATATATGTGTGTGTGTGTGTGTGTGTGTGTGTGTGTGTGTGTGTGTGTATGTGTGTGTGCGTGTGCTTAAGAGTCGATTACTTCGTGTACAACTGTATATATATATATAGTGACTTTCCAAGCGTAGTTTTGATGTGACACAAGGCCAATAGTATGGAGCACCCAGTGAGGATCGAACTCACTATTCAGTTGTAATTGTTCTAGTAAGACAATCATTACACCGCCTCGAGGTGCTCTACAATTGCATATATATGTATGTATAAATATATACAATTGTATGCAACATTTGATCTCTATACGTTTGCATGTCAGTACATCCATCTCTGAGCGAACCCACGATCCAGCATTAGACCATTATTGAACGTGGTGCTAAAACCTTATGGACCTCTAAGAAGAAGTTGGGTAGTATGGACTAACCTTCGTTACTCAAAATCTTCAAGACGTCACAGATGCTGTAAATATGTTCATCAGCGTAGAGCCCACCCAAAGCGACTACTCGTTTCTCCTCCTACTCCTGGTTACAAATTGGTGACTAAAATCACAAGTAAGGTTTCAATCAACTCGAAATTTATCATAAAGCATTTCAAAACAGATAAGTTAAATACACTCCAACATACAGTGGGAGGAAACAAATATTCATACACATAAAAATTTTAATTTATTGCATTTCCAACTAATAAATAAATATACTTTTCATATAATTAACTATACACCAATGCATAATAGCTAAATATGCATAGAAAACAGAAAAAATTGATTTTATTCATTCTAATGGGTGAAAAAAAGTATTCATACAATGCAAATTTCAGATTTTAAAACTTTTAAATTGCTTTAATAATCTAGATTATTCAAGTGGAATATTCTAAAATCTTCCGATAATTTTATCAGTAGTAATTATTAGCCTAAAAACACAATCAGAATATTCGTGCAAGAAGGTTATCATCATGGCAAGAGGTAAAGAATTTACAAATTCTCCAAAAGAACTGATTGTTAAGCTATGGAAAGCTATGGAAAGAAGGTAAAAGTTACAGGAAAATCTCAGACAACTTGAATATTTCATTTACTACCATTAGTTCATTCAATGCAAGGTATAAAAAAACTCAAAACTGTTGAAAGAAGAACAGGTGTTCCACGGAAGATTTCTTCAAGATCTTCGAGGAAATTTATATTTTAAATTAAACAAAATCCAAGGAGTTGCAGGATAATTTGCTTTCATCAGGAATCTGTGTCACGAAGCGAACAATAAGCAATGAAATACATAGGAACAATCTAAAGTCACGCTCCCATCAGAAAACTCCACTGCTGTTGAAAAGACACAGAGATGCCATATTGAAATAAGAATAAGGAAAAGTCGTACCGGGAAAGAGTATTATGGGC